ATAAGTTTAGAGGCAACAATTATTAATACGATACGAAATAATATAATAACAGGAATGTTTTACAGTGGATTTCCACTGCATCTAACTTCCGAAAGAATAAAAGAGATAAAATGTTTTAAAATTAATGTTTCGACAATGATAACCCACAGATACATTGAACATTGATAGACATGACACATAGTTTTTGAGCGTGTGAATAACGGAACACAAGTTACGAGTACTTGTGACGATCATAACAATAACTCGAGGCTGTTCACATTTGCTCATACTGTTAAGGTATGTATTACCTACTGAGTACAGAAAGACATTGCTTTTCTATCACTTTATTGAAATCCTAACACAAGTCTTACTAAAACTACACTAAGCATGTTGAATGTAAAAGAAAAATGCATTTACTTTAATTGAAAAGTTACTAACGATTTACCTTCAACATAAAGTTAGCTTCTACAAATTTTGTTTGGTTGTAAGCTATAAAAATTACTGGAATACTTTTCATGTTAAAGAATTCGCCCGTAGCACACAATCAATTACAATAATGCACGACGTATTATTACTTTATTGTGAAAGTAAATCAAAAATAACGATACAAACGGATTGTTGGTCAATAGGACAAATTAAATTAGTTAAAGTAAAAAAAATAAAATTGAACGAAAGTCACAGACGACACGAATTTAGTCACAACAATAATAACCAATCTCATTTGCTGACTGTAGTATGGTCTTAGATTTTAAATAGCAATATACGTATCACAAGGCATTCCAAACACAGTTTTTTTTTTCAAAATTAAATTAAACTATTGTTCCAAAGACATAATTACTTATACCCTCACAATCAAAACTGTTGGGCTGATAGCTCTTTGATTTGACGTGTTTTAATTATAATCTTACTTACTAATAGCGAAGAGCTACGACCAACATCTCAAGAAGCTCTCCCTAAACAGTTGGATTAAGGGCCCGATACAATAAGCAGTTATCCTAGGAACCGTGCGCATTGAGAAGGTTCCTGTCTCTGCAGCCCTGCACACTGGTTATTTGAGTCATGGGATTCCGCAGTCGGTGGTGCTCTATTTTGAATATAATATATTTTGTATAATTTTTTGTTTTGTACATGACATGTATCATATTGAGAACATGATAAATAAATAAATACATAGATTATAAATACAAAAAATGGGATTAAACTGGATTAAATATTGTAGTCAGTCCAGTTAGTTTAGCCGCAAAGTGAACTAGTAAAGTGAAGCGGATATCCTCCAACTAGTTTTTTTACTTTAAACTCTTTCATATAGTAGTAGTAGAAAAACAAGTTCATAATACTTATCTATACTAATATTATAAAGCGGAAGAGTTTGTTCGTTTAAACGTGCTAATCTCGGGAACTACTGGTCCGATTTGAAAAATTCTTATTTTGTTATTTTATTTTTATTTATAGAGTTTTTGGATAGTCTATTTATAGAGGAAGGATATTTGGGCTATACGCTGCGACCAATATTTTTTTTTAATTACGCGCGGACGGAGTACCGGGCGACAGTTAGTATTAAATACAAATCAAGGTCAATAAATGAACTTGTTACGAACTCTACATAATTATTACGTAAATATTACCTTCCTGTTTATCGTAACTTAGAACTTAAAAAACAGAACAGAAAAATGTCGCAAAAATATTTTATCTAGAAAGCGCTTACAGATTACATAAAGTGCAAAAGTCAATCTTGCATTTTAATATTTAATTTCAATAATTTTTTTAAGTGTCACCACACGAATTACCATTTTCCTCTGGTGAATTAAGTTTTAGTACTTTCCCACACTTCTATAATTAATCTAATACAAGTAACGATAAGTAAGTTTGTTCATATATTTATTTCCAATAGAGATGCGTCATCTGATTACCTCGTGTGAGTCATTGGCAAGGACAAAGCTTCTACCTACTGCCACTGCATCTTTTATGGATGCTACGTTCTTTAACTACATTCAAGAAAACATCGTAGGAGGAACTTACATGAACGAAGTAAATTAATATTTTCTATTACTTCACTCAGTTGCAATTTATCAAACCTGTTTACGTATGTACCGATAACATTTTACCATATTTAGTTAAGTTAAATAAGTTACGACAATCGTAACAGGTAGAGTTACTTATACGATTATCGTGTCATTAAGTCACAAAGAGCTATAAATATTTCTTCATCCTGTGCTGTTATTAATTACCAGATATTTATTTGGTAATAAGTTGAATCACGATGCAACTGCTTATTTTACATATTAATTGCTCGTAGTTTGTTTAATAACAATTTATGAACATTTTTTTGTTATTTCACGCTTAATAATTTCAATAAGCTAATATCATGGTCTATCTAAAATAATAATAACTTTTAATAGTACTAAAAGCGTGTGAAAAATATTCTACTAACCTTGCATTGGGGAAAGTCGTTAAATTTCGGTTTAAAGATGCGTTGCTAGCCTTTTTAAGCCGCGTTTTGTCTGACACGTATGCGTGGCGGAGGCCTAATTTTAGTCCATTTTCCTTGCTACCCTTTTCTTATAATGAAAGAATGGATAGAAGTGGTTTTGATCGAGGAAAAGACGCACAGAAACATGAAATATTCTATTCCTGTGCATACCTCCTCCGTCGATTAAAAGGAGGCAACTCCTCAGCAAATGCCGTTGTCTATGGGCAATTCGCGTCGCTATTTCAGCGAATTCAGTTGCCCGCTGGCTTTTTTGTCACCTTATTATTTAAAAAAAATGTAGTCCAGATGTTTTAATACTATAATTATATGAGAAAATCATCTGCATAACACAAATTGATATGGCTACATAGTTTCTCAGATATTTAGTTAAATCTGGGGCACAGCATAATGATGTGCATTAAAAGTTGTTATTAACGTTGGTTTATGACAAGAAATCATAACATCGCCGAGTTAGTAATACTTGGTTATGAAATATACGACATTTACTGCTGGTTAATCTGACAAATACTATAATTTTCGTTGAAAGAACTCTCAAAATAAATACTTTTAAAGTCCTTGCCGTTTGCCTCATTCATACGATTGAATATAAAGTTTTTATATTTCTTTACAATGCGAGTTGAAGGTACAACTAAAGGCCACATATTTTATGCAAAATATTAAAATATAAAAATGTCTATGATCAAACGAGATAGAGCTAGTAAGCAAACTTAATTAAAAATTTGTTGATTATTATCAAAAAGTTGGAAAAACTATTTCCATTGTAAAATAGAACTGGCTTAAAATATTTAGTATTAAATTGATTTTAAATGAAAAAACAATTTGACATAAAAACTCTCTAATCTCAAGTTTTACATACTAGAGATGCAGATTGCATTTATCTACGAATTATTTTTAATTTCCATCCTACACAATGTTATAACATCTTCAAATAAAGCAACAATGACCTATTGATTCAATGTCTTTGAGATCGATTCAATCTCAGTATGACTATGCTAGGACGTATATTAATTCGTTACACAACGTTTTTAAACATGAAACATCAGATGATGACAATTATTATTCTTATTATTCACTTAAGTTAATAATCTTACAAACATTTCAGTAATACACCATTATATCAGAATTCACTCCCTTTTAACACTGTTCACAATCTATGCATACTTTGTTTGGCCTTTACGTAGCCATCCACTTTCAAACTTATTACTTTCTTGTTTATATGCCATCTCTCAAGGTAACATGTCTATACCACGCTTTTGTTTTTCAATTTATCTATCTTTAACGCAACAGACTTCGTCTAATAATTCCTAATTTTGTCTTAGTTTACGCTCGTTATATCTTATATATAAAATTCTCGTTCACAATTTTCGTTCCCATACTCTTCCGAAACGGCTTGAACGATTCTCATGAAATTTTGTGAGCATATTGAGTAGGTCTGAGAATCGGCCAACATCTATTTTTCATCTCCCTAAATGTTAAGGGTAGTCCACCCCTAAATTTTTATTTTTTATTTGTTAGACAATCACGCAAACGGAGTAGCGGGCGACAGCTAGTAAAACTATAAAATTGATTAGTTGGTATATTCAACGTTATAATTCCAAGCAACCCAAGCAAGGTAATCAAAACTAGAGATAACATATTGTAATTGAAAGTGTTGCAGAAAGCTTGCGGGAGATTTTACGGTTGAGCACGCGTATAATTTTAAAATTTCACTTCTTAATTTACATGAAGTTAATCGATTATAATTTCCACGCTGCCTGTTATTCTTACACGAATATATCTATTTGTTGCAATGTTGTGACTCTATTTGAAAGTTAAAAAATAAGCAATCTACATTTTAATAAAACGCTTTAAAAATTTATAGTATAATTTCCATTAATTATTATTTTGTTTGGTGTAGTATAGGTTTCGATAATTTGTTTTAAAAATTACGATCAACTGACAGTTATTTTTAAACAGCCATGTTTTTTTAGTTCTTATTTTGTCTTAATTAACTGTTCACGTTTCACCGTTTTATTTTTACAAAGTACCTAACTATATTATTAAATTAATTTTTCTTTCGTAAATTGCAATTGTGGAAACAAATAGCAAATCATTCATTTTAACAATGAAGAAATTAAGTTTTAATATAGAAAGGTAGCATAACAATAAGTAAGACACCATTGATTCCATTAATTTCATTTGATTGTTTTTGAAATATCCAACTTAATATCCTTTGCACACAATTGCATTGCAACAAATAATGCTAATAAATGCAATTAGAGAATGGGAATCTCTACACGTTTGAGATATTTAGTTTACCTGAGCACCATTTTCACAAGTCTTATTGGTTGCATCTTTTACCAAAACTGCGGTCCTGCTAACTTCAGCGATAAAACAACTAAGCCTTATCTTGTATCTCACATATTTCTAAGATCCATTAAAATTGACACCACTGAGGTCAGTAGTAACGACGTGTCGTGACATTTTAGTGAGTTTAACATAATGTTTTATTAGTCTCATTGATAAATAAAAGTTATATAAAACAACTCACCAAAAACATAAAAATCCTCTTGAATTTGTAAGAAGCTCAAAGCATAATCACACACTTGATCAAATAAACAAAAGCCGTACCAAAGGTACCGATCGTTTGAAATCAGGTTTCGTTGAAACCGTTATGCACTTTAAACCATAAATACACAAACAAATAAGATGATTTATACAGGGTAATTAATTAATATTGTTTTTATAAATAAAATTGTTCGTTACACACACTGGCGTTCGTTCGATCGTTTTGTGTCGTTCAACCGGACAGACAGGGTACGTTCGACCCGGCGCGACGACTGATCGGCTGTGCTTGTGGGACGGAATAGCTAACCTGTACGTACACGTATGAGCTTGTGTGCGTATAGAAGCCTTCGCTGCGCGTGCGATTATTGAGTGTTGCTAGTAAAATAGCACCTACAGTAATGTAGGTTAAGATTTTTATTCTTTATTGCAAAAAATTAGGACTAGCCTGTCAATACATTTTTCTAAAAATCGAAGTCTATAAAATCCGAAACAAACTTATTAATTTATAAAATAAATCTAGTAAATACCATAGTAGCCTAATATTACTCGGTTAAAAGGTATAGTTTTTTCGGTGTATACAAATCTTTATAAGTTTCCATTTTTTAATATAGATTAAGATGTTATACATGGCAACATATTGCTTACAATTTTAGGTAGGTAAATCCTGTCGGCACCAATCCCGTATCCTAACTTAAGAACACCTTTATTGATATTTTTAGAAGTTTTTTACTGCAACTATTAATTTATTATAGTCTTTTAGTTCTAAGAACTTAGGAGATTAGATCTTTAATTTGTTGTATCTTCTAAATTAAATGCCGCCAAAAACATTTCAATAATCGGAACAAGTCTAGCCGGTTAGGTATGTTACTTAAAATTACTGGACATCGGTCATCGTTCTACAAAACCGTTTTAATGTCACTTGACCATACTGCCTTACGATTTCGATATCTCACCCAAAAATAATTTAATATAAGTAACTTTTAGGAATAATTTAATTAATAAGCGATCAGTATGGTAATATGTATCTAAAGAAGTAATCATCGTTTCAAGCTTATGGACAATTTATATGAAATAAAAACGATCGACAAAATCGAATTAATATTCCACTCCTAGTGGCAAATTCGATTTATTCTCTTTTTATTACTTTTGAGAATACGCCATCTAGGTTCTGTATGGTGAACTTTCTTCATAGAGTAGTTTGTCCTATCAAACCTAGGTGGCCAAATGAAATCATTTTTAGTTTTTCAACAATGACATCTATCGATTTATTCTCTCAACTACCACAACACCAGAAAACCAATGTTGCCTGTTCCTATAACTCACTAAAATTATAAATGCGAGTGTTTTTAGATGAATGAATGGATGTAAAGAAGGATTAAACGGATCTCGATGTTGGGTGTAGATATAGAATAAAGTCTGGATGAACATAGTAGAGCTATTAGTTTTTTTCCGCGCGGATAAGTCGCGGGCAATAGCTAGTATGATTACAAATAATTTGTCTAGTTTTATATTGGCTTAAGTTATGCGCGGAGACAAAATATCATGTTTCTTAAGCTTTTCGCCTATAGCATAAATCCATTCCATTTGCATGATATTTTGTTAACAAAAATATCGAATCGCTTATTGACGTATCAAGTTTTTATTACAACAAAAACAATGTTTTCAGGTATAATAAAAACTTCTAATATTTAAGAGCAAATGATTAAACACGGATGTAATAAAATAACGTATAATTTTTAAGTTCATTTTATTTTCAATAACATAAAAATGTTATGTTTTTTTCCATTTTATACATTTCGAAATGAATTTCAGTGGGTACGAATCTGATCAGTAAAATGTTCACAATAAATTGAAGAGTTTACACTACAGTACAGTTTGGCTTTGCACGAAATCACGGTATGGCTATCGCCATATTTTGAATTTCTTTTTTCACTTATTTCCAAATGCTGTATCTTACATTCGTACGAGCAAAAATCTACAATACTCCACAGCAGTTCATCATAATATTCAACAAAATATATTGTAATAATTTACTCGCTTGGATCGATCATTCCTTTTGATTTTTGTATATCTGCTATTAAATGTTGATATGCTAAAATTTTTTATGATATTTTCCATTTTATGTAAACAAAAATACATCGTTTACCTAAATCAGGTAAAATTGTACAAAAATTATCATTTGGTCTTACAAAAATCGTTACAATGATCGACCCAAAGCAATATTCACTACAATAAATAGAACTAGCTAACTGGAATTGAAGGTCCCTTAAAAGTATGTAATTTTAGATAAAAAGCTGTGATCCACCAATGCTACTTTCTCTCAGCACGCGCGTCTAATCGACGCATCTCATTCAGTAAACTTTCCAATTCGCTTGTACAGTTGACCACGGCTTTTTATAACACTAATTTTATTGTTTCATAATAGTCGACTAACTCTAAAGAGGCGTCCATATTCATAGCATGAAGAAAAATGCGCAAATTCACCAATTCTTACATAAATATTGAAAAGATTTGACAGTTTACATATAAACTCTTAAGTAATTATAAACTGCTTTTAAACTTTTTATCAGTAATTTATCACTGTAAATTTTACAATATCTAAAATGAACAATGGCTCTGTGATTGACAATTTTAACGGGAACTTAATTCCATTTAGAAATTTCCACGATTATCGATAATGTTTTGCACCTTACTAATTTCAATAATACAACAAAATTTGTTTTTTTTTCTGCAAAATCCCCGTAACGCGGTAAGACATCAAATGGAACCAAACATTTGAAAATATGTGAAACAAGTTTTCCAAGTTTCAATGCTCATCGTAATTATAAAATGAATATTAAAAAAAAGTGTTTCATTAAAATAAATTGTATGGTTATAACTTAGATCATTATTATAAGATACATAAATATTATTGCTTGTCAATTTTTACTTAAATAAAAGGCGGCAGAAAAATAAATAAAAGTTTTCTTGTAAGATGAGCATAGATTTTAGATATTTTTAATCTGTGAACAATGGAGATAGTATACATATGTTTCAGCGCGTAAATGTGACAATGACCTAAAGGTCTATGTTACCAGGTCATTAAATTTAAAAAAATAAATGTGACATTTCATAGTTCTTCAAGAATAACTTTTTATGTTGTTTTTAACTTTCAAGTTTAGTTAAATTGTGATTTTTTTATTAATACTTACAGTTGAATTTACTAGTTAATAGAAGCACCATAATTCTATGTTTAACCTATTCAGGTTAAAATTCATCACCGAAGGTAAGATTCATTTTATCTACATTATTTGTTTTAACAAGTTTTTTACTTTAAACTTTCTTGATTCGTCGCTTGTTATTACATTATCTTGTTTATTTCACAAACTAATCGAAATTAAGGTGAAAATGTCATGGCGTTAGTCTAACAAGAGTTAGTAGTAACGGGAGGTAGACTAACATAGTGGCATTGTTTTCTTAGACAATTCTCTTCTACTATAGCGAATGTATTTGAGAAACAATCACATTTACGCTCTGAATCACATGTTTTATTGCATTATGATATTTGTATGTACATGTAAAACCATGTGTAGAATTTTAATTTAGTAATACTACACTAAAACTGGCCGTCATATAAGTATCCGCCATGTTCTCCTAAATATAACTACGTCATATAATATTCTTAACTAATCAATATTTACAAATAATACAGTTCATTTATCTTTATATAGAAATTAAAATATATTTCTATCATTCTTCGATTCACAATAACGCAAAATAATTTAACAGAGTTCATTTTTGCACTCACATTTACAATATAGTTGCGTAACTAATTTGTTAACGCTTTATTTTGTCGATTTGAAACAACACGTTTAGAATATATCACCCAGTAAGCGAGTACAGCAATACTCACCGATCTTATCGTACATTACTTAATTAAAAATGCAGAATATGTGATAACGTCAAGGAATATATTACAATGAACGGCAATTGAACGTTATAGTCCGCTCGCATCAAATAGGAACTATAAGATTCACAATGCCCGCGCGCGCGGCCGCGGCACACTATATGTACAGCCGCGGCCACGCGCCCTACCGCTACCAAACAACTAGCACAAATAAAACTCTCTATTTACAACCGGCTCGGCTGCTCGTCCACCGACGACACCGAAACAATTCTAATCGATAAAAAGTATTACATTGAATCGAAAGACAAGTTGAATTAATATTTATTGTAAATTTTTGTTACACTTTATGCTAGAGTTTAGAATATAGGGAGCTTGAGTGGCGCCACCGTGACGGCGGTGCGAGGAACTATACATGCACAACGCCGCGGTATGGCCGGCGCGGCGCTCGTCTCAATACTTTATCTATACGTAACTATAAATGTACTCCGGCACCGTCGCTGCGACAGGCGGTGCCCCGTCCGCGCCCCCGCGAACGGAAGAGGAACTAAAATCTAGTATCACAATATCGGGCTTCATCGCTCGAACAGTTGCATCGACGCACTACGTGCACAAACGAACGAACACCGGGAACCTTAACGTAACACAACGTCCAAGTCGTTAAATAACTCGCGGATCGAACTGAGAGTTCCACTTAGAAATATCATTAACGAGATCAAAAGATAATTCTAGGTGACTATGACTTTTAGGGTCATTCAGGCTGGACCTCCGCGAGGAGGGTTAAGGCTCACTCGAACAGTGCCAGTAAATCGTCGGATGAAGGCGCGCGCGGGGGGTGGCTGCCGGCCGAGGAGGAGGATGAGGGCGGCGTGGCCAGCAGCTCGCCCAGCGCAGGCGCGTCCAGGTACGACAGCAGCTCCATTGGGTCCACGTTCGTTTCAGGAAGTAACTGGAAACATACATATTCATTTAATCTCCAATATTCAATAAAATTATCTAGTAAATTTCAACATCGTTCTGATCACTGTTGTGCGCATAACAAATTCATTGTTTAAAGACAATATAAAACTTATGCTTGTGAACATGTAGCCAAAGAGCCACAATGGTCTTTTCTTTCCAACTTTGCAAACAAATTTATATTATGGTATGATAAGTTATCTTACGTTCAAGTTGTCGGTGCCCTCGCCATCGATGACTGCCGCGGGGTCAAAGTTGAGGTCTGCGGGTATGTCGACCTCGCTGAGCGGGTGCCCGACTGAGGGCGGGCCGGGCGTGTGGCTGGAGCCGGGCGTGTGCGCCGAACCCGGCGTGTGCGGCGTATGTGGGGTATGCGGCATCTAACGAACGTACGTAAATTTTATAAATGCCATTTTATTTAATAACAATATCTAAATATTATTGTTAAATAGGTGTCTCCTCCGCTGTCGCACTCCGTCTCCAAAATTAAAAAAAAACTTAATAAGTAGCCCATGTATTCTTCCAGTTCCCTTGAGATGTCCTCCAGATACCTACTAATAAACATTCACTCATCCACACATCCTAAACATTATGTGGTAAAATAGATTGTTATGTAATGTTTTAAAAGCTTACCTGTTCATTTAGACTCTTCTCCATAGCATTGAGTGGGTCTAATGAATTGACGCTGTCGTTCAAATGTGACAGCGGTCCATTGCCAGCAAATTCATTACTGCCAGGTCCATTGTTCATGCCGAAGTCATAGTTCTGACTATTGCTTCCACTGGAATTTCTGCTCTGACCGCTTTGATTGTAGGAGGATATCATTGAACCGCTTGCGATTGTGTTCATGTCTGGTGGTAGGTATGGCGATAGTGCGTTCATGTCCCAGTTGTTCATTGTGGGCATGTTCATAGAGCCGGGAGACATGGCTTTGCCACGTTTCCCAACGCTGTTATCATTACTATCATCTTCTTGCTAAAAATATATATATATGATTATAATTTACTGTCTATGGAATTTGTAGTAAATCGTTAAAAGGCTTTTAATTTTTATAAATGAATAAACATAACTCTAAATGAATAATAAGGCTACACTTTCTAGGCAAGTTAAATTTTTTGAAATAAAATTGTTTCTTGCTAGATTTCATAATGAATAATTACCTTAATGCCAGAGTTGGTGAGACTCTTAGCTGCTTTCCAATTAGCTCCATTGTCTATGGTCACTTCGTCTACATCTGAGCCGTTTAGTGTGTTGAGAATACCCCACATGTACTGGTCCACTTCTAATCCTTCTAATTGCGCCGGTTTACTACAAAGGAATTACAAATTTAATAGGTTGTATTAAGGTACAAACATGTTAAAAAATCTTGTGTACAAGTCTAGTTGCTGAACTATTAGTGATTAATAGATAGCTGATACTGTACAGTCAGCCACATAAATATGTAGATATTTACAATAGTTTGTCTTTAGTTTCAAAAATATGTGTAAACATTAGGATGGATGTCATATACAAGTTTCTGGAGGTTTGTATATCTAATAATGTAGCTGACTGTACATATATTCCAATATGTTCTCATTAACATTGCCATAATTATAAATTAGTATTCAACTCACTTGCACACCGGACACCTCCATGACCCCCGTTCACAATTGAGTTGTAAATATGACTCCAAATCGAAGCATTGTATGTGTTTGCATTCATGTCCGCGCGCCGGTAGCGTGATCTTTTTGAAGGTGATTGGACATTTTAGCGATACTTTTAGTGCCGTTTGCTCCACGCTGTCCCTATCGTTGCCCGTGTTGGAACTATTGTTGTTGACCGGTGTCTGGTTGAAGTTCATCTTGATCTTGGCAATGCAGTGGTCAGCTGTTAGCAATCGTTTTCGTAGCAAGCCTTGTAATACGCTGCGGACACTCGGTCGATGGACTAATTGAAGTACGAATAGGTGAGACTGGAAATAGAAAAAGTTTTATTAGTATTTTGAATAGTAAAGTTCAAACAGCTGTTTGAGGTGATTTGAATGTAAGAGTGAACTTGCTATTTGTAACAGCTGAGATGTGTTAAGGTGTATGATAAAGATACAGATACTTACGCAACAACACGCGGAGACGGTGATCTGTATCGTGTTCCTGCCGGGCTGGCACACTTCTTTCAGGTACAAAGGTTTGTGCGAGGTTTTGTTCTCGCCCCGGTCTATGACGAGCGGCGTCGCGTTCACTGACACTTGCACGCTTGCTGGCCAGTTCGTGTTCATCTGCCGGTCCTCATGGTGGAAGCATTTCAGTTGTAACTCGAGGTCCGATCTGTGAATAAGTAACGCATTTGTTAATCTAAAGAATTTTCAACACATTTCCATTGTTTTAAGCATTCATATGTGTACAAACAAAATTACCTCCAAATTAATGTTGAGTGGACAGTAGGTTTTAATTGGAATACATGGTTGCTAACTGCTAAATTATGCTCTAATCTAAATGGTGGTAGAATAATACCATCTCTTACAGGGAATGTTAATCGGAGCTCGTCATCTGAAACAAGAAAATACATTAATTCATATGTTTAAGATAAATTAAGAAATTAATATATAAATCAGATTATAACATTGTCTTACTTTGCATGCCCATCGATGGTTTGAGCTCGTTAAAGTGGGGTTTGACATCAGCATTGGGGCTGATGTAAGGCGGCATACTGCTCGCCGGCGTAAGCGGCGGCGTGGGATTGCCCGGCACTGGGCTGTGCTGGTAGGACATGCTCGTCCGCATTGCCACCTCCTGCGCGAACTGACCCGTGTACTGCCCGCCGTACTGCGCGTTGCTGGCCTGATGCTGCGGAAACTGGTTGGGTACGCCTCCATTGAAGTACTGGCCTTGGTTCGAATAAGGGGGCGTCGACTGTCTCATACTCCCTCTCATGGCAGCGCCGAAGTTACTAGTTGGTCCCAGAGGTTGCTGCGGTGGGTATTGAGATTGGAATCCTGGCCGGCCGCCATACCCGGCGGGATACTGCGGGCCGAAACCCGGCTGACCGCCCATGTATTGAGGCTTCCGCTGCCCCATTAGCATCGTACCCGAAGGGTAAGGCGTGTGTCGCCTTTGGTAGCTCGTGGTCATCTTGCCCGTGCTTGCCATTTGCCCGGGGCCCATCTGCGAGCTCATCATGTTGGCGTGCATGCCCATATTGGCCATGTGCGCCATAGGGTTCATTCCGTTCATGGCGGCGTTGCCCATCTGTCCCATGCCGGTCATGCCATTCATGCCGTTCATACCGTTCATGCCGCCGTTCCCGCCCATGCTCATGCCCGTCATGGCTGGGTTATGAGTGCGCTGCTGACCGTAACCGTTCATCGCACCATACTGGGGATTTCCCATCGTCATGTTGTTTTGCATCTGCAAAGAAAAAATACAGGTTAAAGCTTATTGGCCGGTAGAAAACAACGTCGATAAGATATGATAATTATTTGTTCTGAAACGGATTATCATCTTAAATGGGTATTACTGGAACCTTATAAATCTTGTAAATATTGTGTGTGCAGTATGCGGTGTGTACCTGCGAGAATGGCTGCGAGTCCTGCATCGCGGCCGTGGAGGCGGCGGCGACCATCGCGGCGGTGGCGGCGCTGGCGCTGGCGCCGAACTGCGCGCTCTCGCCGCCGCCGCTCATCGCGCCCGCCCCGCCGTACCACCCATACCCGCTGACAAAAACAAAACACAAATTAAACACTGATTACTCTGTAAGTTCAGCTTGCGAGTAATACACAAATAAACTGTCGCGTTAGAAATTATCTCGTATAAAACACGATTTGTAACTCTCAATCGTTTGTTCGCAGAATTTTCTTCTGCGGTGCGCAGCAGCTCGTATGTCAGCTAATCCTGGATGGAGCCCTAGGTCAGGTCAGTGATGTCTTCTATTTAATTATTTGTAGACGCATATTATGCCGCAAGATTGAAATATCGAAGGTGTTAAATAGATATCAGAGAAATCGGGATAAAGACTGCGAAAATCGTTTATTACTCCATAATGTATTTAAAATTCTTAGAAGTGTTTTAGGTTTTCAGTTTATTTTTTTGTTATGTTTAGTTCACCGAAGCGTCAACAAAAATGTGTTAACGTTATTTTTGAGGTGAGGGATGAAATTCCTTTATTTTTAAATGTTCTATGTTTAATGAACTATTGAAAGCTTAATGGGAAAATATGAACAAACTATATGGTTCTTGGTGTATGTATTTCGTAGATCGCATTCTTAAGTGTGTAGCTAAGCAAAGCGTTAACTAGGTATAACGGTACCTACCTTGAGCAAGCTACACATTATCGAGTGGTTTACCTATACAACTGTATTTTTAATATCGTTAGGTATTAAAATGTGAAATCAGTCCGGCAATTTTATTTGATTCGCGATACGAGCAGTTTCTATTCTATTGCAAGTGGCCTTGCCGAGTCGAACATTTTACATTCCACACGTTAACGCTTCGATTATTAATAAACACGGACTCAATATTCAACCCAAATTCTATTGACGCAAGATCTTTTTTTAATACGTGCACACGGATTTTTATTATTTTGACGAACAATGAGAGTTGTAAAAAATCAATATGGACGTACGTAGTGACGCGCTGTTACCCCTGTGTTTCTCTCGGGATATGTTTCATTTTTTTTTTGTATAGCACCCGGAGTGGGAGAGCGATTCATGTGAACTGCTTTTGGGGCCAATTCCCGAGCCTTCTCGGAGCCCTTCCTAATAATTCCCATTCGACAAATGCCCGACAAACACTCGCACGGGCTACCCATTGTTATACGCGTCTCTACTATTGTAACCGTATTGGGTTTGCAAGTTTACGAGTACAATTTTGAGGAAAGGATTTTAATATTTTCAATATTAAAAGCGTTGTTGCCATACTTTTAAGAATGTAACATTTAACTCAACATTATAAAAAGTAATAATGAACGCTGATAAACGCAATTATTTGACAAAATAAACTGATTAAATGTTTTTATATAATTACTTGCTTTATTGCTTCATTACTATATGTATCAAAATAGATTTGTCTCAATTAAAGATGAATAGTTGTCAAGCATTTGAAGATTCACACTTAAGTATCGTCATAAATAGCTTAACAGATACTTAGTAAAGTCGAAAACCAATAAACACGCGAGTCAACAGCGCTCAAGACGCCTCGTCTTATTCATCTCCGGCGCAGATGATTTACAAGGGTCCTTCCTTAGGTAAACTTCGCCCGACCTGCGCTTCTTTTTATAGTTTTGTCTGAACCTTTTTTCCTTTACCGACTAAAATGTGTAGCCGAACAAAAAAAAACTTGTATTCTGCATCCTGGTGCACTTTTTGTAAAAGTGGTACCACATCCGAATAATCACTTACGGCTCGCTCAAAATATTTTGGGTTCTTGAATGCAGGCGCGGCTCGTTCGTTTGAGACAATTCTCGGAATGTTCCATTTAACAAATTTTATATCTGGACGTTATTGTATACACTTTATCCTATAGGTTAATACTAAATACGAATGCTGTGAAATCAATGAATTTGTAGATAAATTGTGAACATATAAACGGTATAAAAATCAAACATTACCGGTTCTTAGCTCAAATGATCAGGTATCTAAAGAACAACGCACGTTTATCGACATGCGAGTCGGCAAAATAAATTAATATGAATGAGTACGTTGCTATTTCGAGAAGCTGGAAGGTGTTCGGCATAATATCGAAAGATAGACGAGAGAAACGCGTAGGAATTTTGATACATAGGCTGTAGTTAATTTTAGATAGGTGCGCAGGCGCGGCGAGTTGTTAGCTAATTGGCGGCGGAGATACGTTGTTATCGAATGCTCTTTTAAAAAGAAACAAATTAAAAGCGCAACTAATTGGCGAATATCGAGCGTGGGTTAAGTTTTTCACTGTCAAATTACAACCCTTATTGAGCGGCGATGGTATTAACAAACGAGTTTCGGAGTATCGATTCGCAACGTAATACGATGTGCCACGCGCGGAGGAATGCTGACCGCTAAGAAGAATAGCGATGTTAAAACTTTATCATACTTTAAAAGAAATTAAAAATATATAAAAGTAAATTAAAAAAATATTTCTTAATTAGCGTAAACATATTGATTATATTGTGTTAAATAAGGCATTAATTGTAAGTTGTGTATAGATTACTATCGGGTAGCGTGAAGCCGTGACGTGTACCGCCCCAGTGTTTCGTCGACAGTTGGTCACCCCTATTTAAAAGCCACTTCACATTGTGGCCTGTGTTCACATTTGTGTACGATATAAAAGTACATATGACGAGGATCGATATTATTGGAACTTGATTAAAGCAAAGAGTGTCGGTGTTTGGAAGACAAATTATTCTAGTTACTTCATTGTTTTATTACTAAGTACTAAACCATAGTTTGTTGTTGTTTACTTACAATCCTTTTTTATACAGATATTGTAAGTTGACAGCAAGACTATTTGCTTTAAAACTGCTCAATTAGCAAACACATTTTCCATCTATAATCATATAAAGCTCATGCATTGTAGATCGAACTTAAAATCTTCTTATCTTCTTTCACAAAATTCAGATAAATTTCCAAATATGTTACGGAACCTAAATATGCATAAATAAAAATTAAGTTTTGTAGAAGTCGTTGTGGTGATATGAAAAATTAAGTTTTTTAAATTGTTGATTGTTAGTTTTATGTAATATTTATCTCGTCAATTGAGGTTCGAGGTCGGGAGAATGAATCATGCTTCAAGGAGCGAATTCCGGGGGTTTGGTATGGAGGCGAGCGCTTTAGGGTGGATACGACACAATGATCGGGAAGGGTCGGCGAGCCTCGCAAACTTGGGGTAAGTGGGCTGAGTCGCGGCAATATGAAGCTTTATTACGCTTCTCATAATAATTTGTTTCCGTATCAGACAAAACTTTTTCGTGACACTATTTTGTGTAATTTTTCACACTTGATATATGTAATTTGAGACTAAATGCACGTGTTTATATGAAGTTTATAGTATTAGATCGTACATTTAAGTAAATTCGTTCAAGTCTATTGAGCACGTGGTATAATAGTGTCGGTGCATCCGCCCCCGGCCGCAATGCCCGTTGAAAACCGACATATTTTCCCACGACCACTTACAAGCTGCTACAAATCTTATATTATAACATTCTTTTCGTGTGACGTGTACCCTTATCTCTAGACGTAGCGAGGTAAAACAAACGGTCATCGATGCTATTTAACGCGACGTGTATTTAGTTGACTGTTTGTATTAATTGCGGAGCGCGCTACCCTTGAAGTGTGGAGTAGAGGACTTCCTGTGCACCGTTCACACAATCCCGCTTCAACTCCCCGTTTATTATTATTTAGTTATTGGTTTTGAATAAAAGGCGCGCTGCCATCAACAATATGTCGCTCGTAAAGGTGACTACGAAACAAAGCCGCCGAGCGCCACGACTTAGCACCTGCTTATTTTTTTTAGTATAATTTACACTACAAATGTAATAACAATCATGGGCAACGATAACCGATGATAGATTTAAAGTTATCGTAATTACTTTAACATTAAAAATTAAACCGATACCTATTGAAACGATGGTAAAATTTATTTAATGAGTCTTTAACTATTGGATGCGCTAAGTGTTAATAATTTGTTTGTTTGTGTTTATTGTAAGAGCTAAAGTGCAGTCACCGCTTGCATTCCCATCGTACGTTAGTGTGAGTGCGCAGCGCTTGTGTGCGTATAATTTGTTTGTGTGTGTGAGTGCAGAGACGTCAGTGTGCGTGATGGGCGCCGAAAGCGTTTGTGCGTGTGAATGGAGGAACACATTTCATTTCTTTCATTATAATTGCAGTGATGCGCGCGGCCGGCAATGTCACTCGCTCGTGTACTTTACAGTTGCCATATGATTATGAGGGATTTACGTACAGATTGATTTATACGAATGCGTAAGCACATATTTTTCCTCGAGAAAAATACAAATGGCTATGCGGCTATGCTATGGTAAAATGTTATGAGGTAGCAAATAAAGTTTTACTCATAGAGGATATTTGATTTTATTGCCCGTTAACTACGATAAGGTGGGTAGAGGTAAGCGAGGCACGTTTCAGCGTTTTGTTGAAATGTAAACAAACTTGTTCCGGATAAGATAAAAACAGTAAGTGCCTAATAGGTGTGACGTTTCGTTGACAAATAGGTATTCGCGCACGAAAAATAATACAAAATAATTTTAACTATGCTAATTGATTTTATACGAAATTGATCTTTGAAATTTATTTATTAAAATTTTACAAAAACACCTTACGCAAAGACATGAATAAAATCAATATCCGAAAAATGTTAAGTTTGACATATGGTACTTACTTATGCGCGTTGACTCTGTATCCTATGGTCCCTTGCAGGGGGTTGTGTTTGGCCGTGTCGGGAGCGTGTGCTCCCGCGTAACTTATGTTGTTCCCCGCGTACCCAGCCGTATTAGCAGAGTTTGCCGTCCTGTCGCTTCAAGCGCACCCCCTGAAACACCACGTATCCTGTTGTACTCTCTAAATAATCCACTTAAACTGCTTCATGTTTTTCAGTATTTTCATATTGTTTTAAATTTCGACGATTATTCGGTTTATGTAGCAGCTATATTTTTTAAATTAGTTTTTGTTTAAACGGCCGTTGTAAATGTCAAAAATCAATACGTTTATCGTGTCGTAATTTTAAGAATAAAATTCACACTTCGCAAAGGATATTTTAATTTTGAAGTGTTGTTTATAGTCACAAAATATACAAGTAATTTAATTCCACTTTTAATTAAATTTTACGGTGGAATTTACTTATCAGAATTATTTATCATTTACACAAGAAATTAACTCAATCAATTTCTAAAAATTTTAAACACGATTGAGCTAAGTGTTGCTTTTTGAGCAACCGAGATTAATTTTTATTTTATAGTAACGTGTTGTATGTTTTCAACTGTGACTTTTTTAATTACTTTAATATATATTTACTGTTATGTTGATAGAAGAATTTGTAATTAACCGAACTAACAACTGATAACACACCTTAAATTTTTTAGTCTTTTTGTCACTTTATTCCACACAATCCAAAGCAATGATTGCACAGATAATTTATTAATACAATCCACAAATGATCTTCAAAATCCAATTTTTGCACTTTGCAATCCTTTTTTGGTGGGCCACTGCACTTTATTTACGTTGAAAAATTCAAAACGTCACTTAGCACAGTTCATAAAATCTCCAAATCCAATGTATAATATTTGCACCTGTCACTGTGTTCCAACATTTGATAATAAATTTATTATTATCGTTCACTCACGAGTCCGACTTTGTATTTACCGAAACATCATAGACGTGTAGCGCGAGCGCCGACACCGACGTCACTGACATCGAGCAACCACACGGTCGACCGTCAAAGGTAACACTGGCGATGGCGATGGCGAGCCGGCGACGGCGACGGTGAGTGAGAGGTTGCGCGCGGGGCGCCCACCGCGCGGCGTTGCCAGCTCGCGCGATAAAGTGGCGCACCCCCGCCCCGCGCCATGAGCCCCTCGCCCGTGCCGCTCGGCACCGCTCGGGCGCCGTCGGCGTCATACCCCTGCCCTGCCCTACCCGTGCCCCGCCTCGCGCACTCGACGTTTCACGTAACGGTCCTCAATCGAGCGCGCGCTACTCGCTCGTTGCTTGTTCGAGTACGGCAGTCGGATTCGGAGAGCATGGATGTGTCGAAGGGTGAAATCCACATGTTTCCATGAAGATCTATAGATATAAAACGTATTTACTTTCGAGACAGCACAAACAGAATTTCAATAATGAAATTGTTTACCAAAAAATTTTAATTCAAGTTAGATCTAGATTTTATTTTAGGTAGACATTTTATTGTATTTTTTGCGTAAAGAGCGCTCAGGCAGCGGCCGCGGCATTCGGCAGCGTCTGTTGAGTTCGGGCATAATAATTAACAGCGATAAACAATGGGCATGTCGTCCTCCGGTCTCTACCTGCGCATGACGATAGAGGACGAGTGACTCGTTCGTCCGGCGATGTCCTCGCGTCGCCTTTAAACAATCTTTTTGATTTATTTCAATGGCATTTGACACGTCGATAAATATAGGTTAAAATATTACGCAGACGATAATTCTCAAATAATTGTTGATAAAATAATAGTTATTTATGAAATTGAAAAACATCAAAAATATGTCAAATTAGTATTCTGTTCACAAGGGATGACACCGAGTGTCAACAAATGCCTACTTAGATATGTATTTTGTTAGTTGGTCTGTCAGCTGGAAAGCCGGGAAAGCGGCTGCGCGTGCGCAACCGCCTTGTCCGCGTTCCAATGTGTCGCCATCGCCAGCGTCGTCGCTATCGATCCTACACTGTTTTCGAATTTAAAAGTTATTAAACCGAAAAATTACGTTGATACAAACATACAATATATTTGCTTATAACTAAGTGGAAAGCATTATTTACTTTTTGCATTCGTACATATAAATTTCGATAAAATTAGCATTTAAATTTTTATTACAAGAATACAAAACGATGATAATTAAAACGTGTTACGCTCGACTTCCTCCTGCAATGCTGAAAATCTTATCATTACAGATAAAAACAATGACGTTGAATGGTTCGTGATAATGTATTATCCACATAAAGGCACGTAGCACTGTCTCTGCTTACAGGTTTGTAATAATGTTATGCTGGTAGATATAGGAAGGTCTTACGTGATTTAAAGGGCATTGCAACAAAATATGTAAGACAGATAACATGATAAGCCAATTGCGTCTCAGTAAGCAAAGTATACTAAGAAACACGATGTCGACTTAATATTTCCATTTCTTTGTTTCATTATCAATATTATTGTTTTAACTTTCAATGTTACGCTAAGACTTCATCGAGGATGATCACAAGTATCAATTTCTTTTCGTCCTTAAATAGTGCGCTACCGTAATCGTCTGTTAGGCTGATAATTATATAATTCGAACAAAATGTCTTGCTTTCCCTATTTATAATGTTTAATTTATTTGCACTGTTTTCGTAAATAGCAGGAAGCCGTTAGTTCTCTGGCGTCGAACACATCTCGCTGCCAGTCAACAATAGCTCATCATCAAAGCGTTGAAAGCGGAGAATTAAAAAGTCAGTTTTTCCCCGTTGACACTGGCTATAAATCACGGTCGCCGTGTTTATTTTATGAGTCGGCTATTATCGTCAACGCGCCGGTTTTGCAACGCAAGCGCTTTTGATGCGCGGGAGTTGTTAAATATCAACTCATTCAAGTACTGCAAGCTAGATAGTTTTATACCTAAACTAATGAAATTGATTGTTGTAAGTAAATTAAATACTAATAATTTCGGCTAGTGTTTTAGACTCTTCCAAAGAAGTTCATATTTGGTGCACTTCCGACGATCTATGATTTAAAACATAAGTGTAAAAATAATATAGGATGGAATTTACTTATCTACAACAGACATATTATCTTCTTAGTGTAAATATACTGAAGATAAGAATACTATACATCCAAACGTTCTCTTCTCGTAAACACGTGTTTGGAAAAATCTCATTTATGTTAAGACATTTGCAATACAAGGAATAGTGCATTGTGCCCACCTGTTACCATTGATACCGGGGTTGCCATCTATATGACATCTGTGGCAAATATTAATTACATGTACTGAAATTTACTTAATAATATAGATTAAAATTTGAAAGAAATTTTTTTTTGTATGAATTCTAAGACATAATATCATACTGCAACGACATTGAAAAAAAACGAAATAGGAAAGTTTTTTATCAACAATTGGAATTGATACGCCGAAATGTCTACTTTCAAGATAAAAGACATAATTAAATCGCGCAGTCAAGCGCTATTTTATTTATTTAAGGAAAATAAAATAAATTTATTTGCAAAGTAACTTAAAATTTGCTTGATCAACTGATTTCTTTTACTGAAGTCGTTTTATATTTTTCCATAGTAGCTTGTAGTTTAGAGTACAGAATTTTGCATGTTTGAATAGAGAGTTAATGATATTAGAGCGGGTCGTAAGTGGCACATAATGCAGTGTGGCAAGCGCATGTCTGCACCTCCCTTTGGCAAAAACCTGTTCCGCGCTTCGCCCGGGAAATATGTCGCCGCGCGCGCCGAGACTCGCAATCGCCTCGTTTCCATCACTGTTTCGTTACGCCAAATTATTATTTGTGTTTATTTGTTTATTGACCTTGTAGCATCGGAAAAAAGTACATGGATATTAAGTGTGAGTAGGTCGATGTAAAATAGTTGGTTGATTTTTAAATTGTTCTAACGTAGCACTATACGCCGTGCCCCCTGGTACTTTTTTATTTAGTTTCTTACATTTTTTATTAGGAAATTGACAAAAGTGGTAATTACTTCGTGGAATACTCCAAAAAAGTTAGTTAAACGAAACAGTAAGTTTTTCCATTCATGTCAAGGTCAGATAAATTAAACAGAAATATTTGTATCATATTATTTGCCTAAAACGTTTATTTGACCAGGCAAGAATCTTATAAACAAACGTAACTACGTCAACGAATTTCAGCTAGAAAGTCTGGGCAATACAAAATATTTATTTAACATAATAAAACAACTGATTAAAATTAATAAAACAAGTTATTAAATAAGTTTTTACAAGTTTAAAATTAGTAAGTTCATAATAATTTCATTTTCAAGTCGAATATTGAATGTGTTATTGTTAATATTATCAGCCTGAAATGGACTTGTTATCTGCGTTTTATTGATTTATCGCGCTTACATAAACGCTAATCTATGTGTGAGTGTGTCGCTATTTATAGGAAATAAACGTGTAACTAACCATTGTTATACGTTTAAGATGTTTAGATTGTTACTTTCGTGTCTAATGAATACGATTTGATTGTGTTAGTTCAGTTTTTAATTACATCTGTCATTTGCCCTATTTCAATATTGTAAAGTCGTTTGAAAGATACATTTGAACTTCTTCCGTTATAAAGTAATTATTACAATCTTAGGATCGATCTTAAGGATCGATTATTGGGTTCAGTATTTGATTGTAAATGATATTTAAAATGGAACATTGAATACAGTATGTTTTTATATCTTTAGCTAGTGAGCGTACCTACCACATGCCGCACTTCTATTATATCTGGAAGTCGCGGCTCGAATGTGAAACGCGTATTTATTGCTTAAGGGGCAATTTCACAAACATATTATACATATTTAACAAGTCTTAATAAAACCAGACTTAGTGACTCATTATTCTTCATATGTACCTATGACTTACCCGGGAAGAATTAACAAGAATAAAGTAAATTCAATAAAACAGTAACTACAGAGTTAAATTATTGAGCAAACGAACAAGCAAGCCATATTCCTCCCGGTTCATGCATGTTAATACGCATAAAATTATTTACTGCATTTATATAAATTTGTACATAACACAAATATTATTTAAATTTGATTTAACAAAATGTCGTAATATTTTAATGTAAATACAACGGTACGTAAATAGTAGTTGTCTGCATTCAAAACAATTCCCCTCGAAATTCAAGCTATCAAGGTAACTGAAAATAAATATATTGTTTTATACATTCATTTGATAAAAAAATCATGGCCAAATAGGTTCCGTAAACGAAGTAAGGCGTCACCTTCATTGTTATAATGAGATCGTATGTCATTTGTGTTCGTAAAAAATAAGGTTTTTGTCTACACGACAAACATATCAATAAGGTTATGTTGTCTCAATATGTACGATACATATAAATGTAATTAATTATAGCACTAAAACAATATTAAATCCAAAGTTAAACCTTTGATTCTTATCTTTTAACTTAAGACTAATATTGTTCTTTTAAAGTCTAAATAACGATAAAAGAAAGATTCTTGAATTATATCTTCTAATAAAATCGATTAATAAATTCGTATACGTGATGCATATACTTTTAACTTAATGTAAAAAACCTTGGGAAAAATTATACAATTAGAGTCACACAGTGAAAACGTAGCTTTACAAACTGGCGATGATTTCCATTCTTCGCGCTTGAGAAAGTTAGACAGATGTATGTAAACACAACTCATTCTTCTTTCAACGATGGTGCGGCCAATTTTTTAAATTAATGACTGTGACAGGAAAATAAAACGGGTAAGTAGGTTCAATGGAATTTGAACTCATTTTTATTCAACGAAATAACATCTAAAAATATTTGAAACTTGTTGCTTGTTTTAAAAAATTATATTTTTAATCTATGTACGTAGCGAAATAAGATTGTTTACATTTAAAACTATTTTTATAATAAAATTCTTTAATAAAAAATATAACGATTTTTTAAAGTAGTAGTAACATAATCAAATTTGACAAGTCGACCACGGCTAAAAATTGTCAATATACCTGAGATACATTTGCAAGAGCAGTAATAGTTAACGTAACTTAAGAAATCACAAATAGATTG